AAAGGCAAGTTGCCCTAAAAATAGGATAGTTTTTTTAGAGTTGTGAGGGTGGTCAAGGAAAACACTTACCATTTACAAGATATGAAAGCGAATAATCTCTCTTATGCGTATTACTTTAATCATTTAAAATATATTATAGTTAATGAAAAATAATATAAGTTTCTTATCTATGAATTGATTTATTTAAAGATGATGTTTTCATGTTATCCAGGTGATACTTAAAGGCCTTCCATCTACTCAACAAGAATAAGATTGATTCGGTCTTCCTAGTGCGATTGCATTACTCATCAAAGATAAAATTGCCTCAGTCTTTCTAGTGAGATTGCAAAACTCATAAATTTACTTTCGAACTAAATTTTCCTTTTAGTTACAGGCAGGGGGCGAATCCTTCTAAATTCTATTAAGTTAACAAACTAAATTTTCGGGCGAATCCTTCTAAATTCTATTAAGTTAGGTAAATTTTAAAGTACAATTCAAGTGCAAAGATTAATTTTTTCTGAAATTAGAAATATTTTATAAAGTATGGACGTTAGACCTATAAAAACTGTTTAAATGATCCCCTCTTAAATACTTTTCTAGTATAGGTGTTTAACCCATACAAACTTTAAAAAAAAATTTATATATAGGGGTGTTAGACCTTACATGAAATTTTTATTATGAGCATTAGACCTATATAGACTACACAAGTCCACAACATATAAATGAAATATAAAAAACTCATAAATTAAAAATAATATACAAAATGATAAACCTTAAAGGACTAGGGTTGTTTACATGGCTAACAAGAGATGAGAACTAAGGGTTATATATCTAGGCCAGGCTCTTAACAAGTTATTCCCAGTATTGGATAGTTGCAGTCCTAGCAGGGAACACGTTTATAAAGTCTACTATAAGGAATAAATAAAAAGCAAGATTGAAGCTTATTTGCATTTATTTTGATTGATTAAAGAAGTACAACTTGGTCATGACAAGGAAGATCTTGTCCCAAACTACCTAAAACAGGGCTAGAAACCCTAAAAAAAATTCATGAAACTCCACATAAAAGTTTCTCAGAGCCTTTGGCACATCTAAAAGCTCTAGTTTCTTTATTGACAGCAAGCCCAACCCTCGAACCATTTTGAGTGGTTTTCATCTCAAATATCCCCTATTTCAAGCCATCCATTTTATTATGAGTTTCTTAACTATCTTTCAGTATATCTCAACTAAAGGATAACACTTTGCATGTTATCCTTCAGAGTTATTTACTCTTTTAGCTATCAATCATTAATAAATACCACCACCTGTACGCTTAACATGATAAGGGCATCATCCTTATAAGCTTATAACAACCTCTTTCTCCTTTTTTCTTGAGATTCCCTAGTAACGATAAAAGAACTTATCCAATGAGGATAACTATCTTCCCCTTACTAGAGATAGATGCTAGGATTCCACCTCTTTAGTTTTGGGGCATTGTATGATAGACACCAGTCTTTTACCGCTTTTTCTAGTTTCAAATTGAAACATGAATTTCTCATCAAAGATAACAATATCCCTATTGCTATGGTCAGATCTAACTCCTTTTTGGTTTATTTTTTTATTTAAGAAAAAAATAAAGAAATACTTGGTGGAAAATACCCAAGATGATGTTTTCTTCTCAGAATAAAGCAAAATTAGCTCAAAGAATCCACAACAAAACTATTTTTTACAAAGGTAAAATAGAGTAAAAGTAAAAAAAAAGAAGAAGTAAAAACAACTAGGGTTATAAAGTAATTTTTTGTCACCCTCACCATTAAATGAAATGACCTTTAATGTCATTTCAAATCTCCATAAAATCTACTTAATTATTGCATTGAATGTATGCTACCGTTTTGTTTCATGATGGACATCTCTTTTAATAAATATAGACCATCTGACCATATCTTTCAATAAGGACAAGCCATCTCACCACAATAACCCCAACAATTATATATATGATAGACAAGTCTCACGATGAAGGTTAAAAGTCTTTCAAAGCTAATAATATTTCAAATCTGTATGTGTTTAATGCATAAAGACTTGAGAGCTACTAATGGATCAATTTATTTTACATGTATGATATGTTTGCTTAAAAACCTATGATTAAAAGTGTCAAGTGTAAGGTAATAACCTAACGTACCTAGTCTTGACAAAATAAATAACCTTGATGACATGGGTCTGGTTTACTTCCAAGCCTAACATCCTTGGGTTCAATTACCAAGCCCAAATACATGTAGGTCCGACAAGATGTCAGACCTAACACCAGTGGTTTCAACTATGTATTGAGCCTAAGAACATCTGGGTCTAGAAAAGTGTCAGACCTAACACTTTTAGGTTTAACTATATGCTGAGCCCATATATGTATGGGTCTAGAAAGGTATTAGACCCAATATCTTTAGGTGAGCTACATGCAGAGCTAAAGTGTTTTTGGATTATGCAAGGTGTCAGACCTAACATCATTAGGCTCAGCCATGCATTTAGCCTAAGTATATGTAGGTCTAAATACATATCATACCCATCGTTTTTGGGTTTAACTACGCGCTGAGCCCAAGTACATTTAGGTCTAGCAAGTTGCCGAAATCATCACCCTTGAGTTTAAAATCATTCCAGGTCCAAGTACATACGGAATTGATAAATATTTTAGGCTTCATGTAAGGATTGTTTGTTTATTCTCATGTATTTTAATATGGGTCATAAGAATTGTTTGTTTATTCTCATGTATTTTAATATAAAATATTAAAAGTCAAGAATGATCATCTTCCTATATCTTTAGGTGCATAAAAGTCTTCAAATGACCTACCATATTTCCATCAAGATTAATATTATGTAAGGATATCTATCTCTCATTAATATCATGTAAAGTATATTTCTCCCATGTTAATACTATAAAGAGAAAATAACACTTCAAACCTTCCATTTAAGAAACATGATAAAGTTTAGAGGCTATATATACCTTCTAAAGCATTTAGGTAAATGGTTTATATTTTTTCCATTCTTTAAGTATTCATACTTTCAAAGTATTTTTTCATGATTGAGAAATTTTTTTTCCCCTTCATTCAAGTAACATGATAAAGTTCAGAGGTTATGTATACCCTTTGAACCATTCTAGTAAATAATTTATATTTTTTTATTCTTTAAGTATTCATATTTTCAAAGCATTTATCATATACAACTGAGGAAAAACACACTTGTTCTTAAAATTTAAAATTTATTTTTTTTATTTATTATAATCTCTTATTAGAAGTCACCAATCATCTAAGAGTCCTCAAATCCCTTGGTGTTATATATTATGTCACTAATAATCAACCACTTGAATTTAAAAAAAAAGAATATTAATGCTAATGTTTGATCACTCTCTATTTAAATACTAAAAAAAACTCTAATACCTGAGCATATTAGATCTTAGAACTTCATCAATAATATTATAAAAAAATTCTATCTAAATGCTTTTAAAAGGCCCTTAAAAATCTCATTTAATAGCAAAGTAAAAATTAAATACGAATGAAATAACTTTATAAAAAAATTAGAAACTCAATCCCAACAAATTAAACATTAAAGGTTTAAGACTTGGCTTAATTAGCTTCAAGGTTTTTTATTCAAAAGATAAGTTTGTCATTAACAAATTAAACATTAAAGGTTTAAAGGCTTAAGACTTGGCTTAAGTAGCTTCACGGTTTTTTATTCAAAAGATAAGTTTGTCATTTTATTATACTAATAGGGGGCAAAGGACAAATGAGACTACCCTTGCTATCAATTTATTTTTTCTTGCTTTTAAGAGTTATATAATAATTTTATTAAGCTAAAAAAAATTAAAAAAATAATTTGACTTAATAAATTTGATAATGACTAATTAATCATTTAGAAAAGAAAATTTTACCCTATAAAAATGTTTTTTTGGTAAAGAAAATTAAAAATATAAATACACTATCCTATTTTGTAATGTTGCATATCTTGGATACATTATTTTACTAAGCTCTTGGATGATGATATTTAGTCATCACATAATTATTTCTTTCTCTAGTTTTTAAGATTTTTTATTGAATAATCTTAAATATATATTATCTATATTAATGCTATATATTAAAAAAAACTTAGTAAAATATTAGCTTTAAGATTAAAATTTGAAAAATAAATAAAAAAAAGGCTTTTTCGCTATTTGACCTTTATGGTAAATATGTGGGGTTCATTTATGAGATTGTTAGAGAAGAGATATATTGCATATTTAAAAATGTGATAAATATTGGATTTTAAAGTATTTTTTGTTTGAAAATACATAAAAATAATAGTTTTTTATCTTTTAAAATTTATTTTTAACATTAACACATTAAAATAATTAAATAACATAAAAATATTAATTTACAAATATTTTTTCTTTAAATAACATTAAAATATTAATTTACAAATATTTTTTCTTTAAAAAGTATGATTAGAATGCAATACCAAACAAGACCATAATCATAATTATAAATAAAACATTAAGAAAAATTTAATAATAAATTCATTTTAAAATATAAAAATATAATTTTAAAATTATAATAAAAACACATATTTATATAAACAGAATACTTTATAATCATCAAAATTCTTCACTGCAAACACCTTCTGATATATAAACAAAATCTAAAACTCTACTATCAATGTCATATATATCTTTTAAAGACTGCCCTACCCCACAAGACACCCCAAAAACTCATATTTAGTACCATTCAATCTCATAAACCTTAAAATAAAAACAAATTTATAAAAATTAAATTAAAAATCTTTTATTTTTTTATGAGTGTTTGATTGAGAGTGTAATAATAATAATTTTTTAAAATATTTTTTTAAAAAATATATCAAAATAATATATTTTTATTTTTTAACATTGATATATTAAAATAATTCAAAAACACTAAATATAAATGAATTCCAAATAAAAATATTTTAAATTTTAATAAAAAATAAATTAAAATTCAATAAAAAACATCTGAGAACCCACCCCTCTCCCCACCTCAAAAAAGAGAATTTCAAATTTCTTCTTTCTTTCCTAAAAGCCCTCATCTTTCCCTCTTTTTTACTTAATCTGCCCTCCTCGCTTCTTTTTCTTGTTGTTCATTGCTTCTCTGAGTGAAACAAACGAAATTTCGAAAAAAACATGTTCGTTAGAACGTACGGTCGGCGAAACCGAGGGGGAGACGACACCGTGTCTGACCATAATTACTCCTTCAGTGAATCTCAAGAAAGCCCATCCAATCAAGATTTCTTCAGCAGTAACTTCCCTTTCTCATCTCAAGAATCCACCTCTTATTCTCTCGATCCCGATCCCTACAGTTTCGACGAAAATCCCATCCCAAGCGGTGTCGTTCCAAGGAAATCGAAGAAGGCAAGGCATAGTAAGTCAAAATCTGAGAGACCCAATAGTGGAAAGATTGGGAATTCAAATGTCTTGACTAGTTCGACAACGTTGATGGAGGCGCAAGAGTTTGGGGAAATGATGGAGCATGTTGATGAGGTTAACTTTTCACTTGATGGGTTAAAGAAAGGACAGCCTTTAAGGATTAAGAGAGCTAGTCTGTTGTCTTTGTTAAGAGTTTGTGGGACTCAACAACAGAGACGGCTTTTGAGGACTCAAGGGTATGCGGGTTTTGTTTTGTTTTTTTAAATTTGTTTGGGGTTTTTAGTTTTTTGATGTTTAAAGATTGATTTTGGAGTTATTTCGTGTTTGAAATTTGGGGGGTGCTCCTGGATTTGGTGTTGAATTTTGACTTTTTGAAGGTTAGTCTCTTGGATGTTCTTGGAATTGAAAGTATGGAAGTTTTGGGGATTTTGTAAGTTTTTGAATTTAGATAAAAGGGTGGATTTGAATTTAGAAAGATTGAATTTAGGGGTTATTGTTTTAGAAACGGTGGATTTTTTTGGAATGTTTTTGATGGGGAGAGGGTATTGGCATTTCAAAGAGTGGTTTGTGGTTGATGGGTTCTTGAGTTCTGATTTTGAACCTTTGCATTGTAGTTTTAAGGGTGGTTTTATAGAAATTCTTGTTGAGTTTTGGATTTCGTATTTTTCTTGATGGCTTCTTGAAGAGTGTGCTGCTTTTTTTTTTTTTTCGTGGACGGCTTTTTCAAGTTTTGAAATTAAAGAAATGGGTTGTTTGCTGAGGAGATCATTCTTTGGATTTTGAATTTAATATTTTGCTTACCATAGATTTTGAATCTTACAAAAGGGATGTCATTTGTTAATTTTTGTAACGGTTTATGGTTTCTCTGTTTAAGCCTGGAAGTATCTAATTAAGGAATGATTGGAAGATTTTATAATTAAATTGTAGAGTTTTTCGGGAATTTATGTTTAATGAATTCCGGAATACAATATGCATATCCAAAAGTACCAACAACTTGTGAGAAGTGAAGGTTATGAATTCTTGTTACTCTTTATTCCAATTGGTGAATGAAATACAACATGTTGGGTTGTCTTGTTAGATGTTTCGATTTATGCACTCAAAATGATTTCTTTGTTGGTCTGCTATCTTGTATGGAGTATACTATTCTCAACTTGCTGACATCAAGTTATACGTCTTATTTCTGGTGCATGTTGAAATTCTAAAGTTTTGTGCGTTCAGGATGGCCAAGACAATAATTGATGCTATTTTGAGCCTCAGCTTGGATGATTCAACAAGCAATCTGGCTGCTGCTGCACTCTTCTATGTTTTGACTAGTGATGTAAGTTTTATGTTTTCTACCATTTTTCCACATTCTCTTGTCCATTTACGTACATTTTTGAAAGCCTCAAAAAAGTGGCCTCTGAAATCTATACAAAAGCAACTGGGAATGCAGCTTTACCTCCTTCTTAGTTGTTAGATAAGGTACTGTCTTTAGTTGTTTAGACATGGATGGAAGGCAGTGACTGGCATTAGTTATTTTGAGAGACCATAAAATAGCAAGTACAACCTTTAACTTACATAATAAAATATTCATATGGAGTTCTATGCTTGTAAAAGTATAATCTTCAGTTTCTTTGTTCGAAAGTTGTAATGTTCTCAAATCATATGCTGGTGTTCTTAGCCAGTTATTTCTTGTTTATCTTTTTTTTTTTTTTTGATTCTCTAGGCTGGAATTCATTTTTTCCATATATCTTGTCCCTCATCAGAAAGGTTTTGACAGCTTTAATTTCACTGTTTCAGGGTCAAGATGAACATGTTTTAGAGTCACCAACTTCCATTCATTTTCTTATTAAATTGTTAAAACCCATCATTTCCACTGCTACTGAAGATAAGGCTCGAAATATAGGCAGTAAGCTTTTATCATTACGCAAGGAGTCTGACATCTTACGAGATACAAGTAAGCTGGCAGATTCTACCACTACTGCCGTTGCTGCCAAAGTTCATGAAATTCTTGTTAATTGCAAGGAAATGAAGTCTCATTGCGGTGATGATAGTAGAATGGAGAGGCCAGAATTGTCTCCAAAATGGATTGCATTGTTATCCATGGAGAAAGCTTGTTTATCTAAGATATCTTTTGAAGGTATTCTAGATGTCATACCATTCAACTCTATCAATAAGGAACTGTTACCTTTTCATATCTATTACATATGGTTTATTCTTATCATAGGATGAAAAGTAGTTTTGTTGATTAGGGTAATGAATACATTCCTGGATACCAATTATTATAAAGTCAATATTGTCGATGCAAGTGCTTTTATTCTCCCTTTTCCTTTTTTGACTGCTTCTGTCTTCTGACTTATCTTGTTGAGGTAGATCAAACTTACACCATTGTGTAATGGACAATATCTCTTAAATCATTTTTTTGTCCTCTCTGTTTTTTTTTGCAAGTTTCACTTGTCTATTTTTGTCGGATTACATCTGATGAAGTTTTGTCTTTGAATATTTATTAATTACTTGATTTAAAAATGACCTAGGGTTACATTTTGCATATAGCTGTTTAGTACAAACTTCTTGAACTTCCTTATCCTATATGCATGTTTTCTATTAAAATTTATGATTTTTTTTTTTGTTATGGAACATGGAGATGGCAAATCATTCTTCATGCAATGTCTTGTCATGAATTTTCATTTGTTGGATTACATGCTTTGTGCAGGTCTTTTCATAAGCAATAGAATCTTGCATGCATGGTCATGCATGCTTGCACACGCATTTCTCTCTTGGTTTTCCTCCTTTCTGATTGCTTATTTATTTGTGTGTGTTGCTTTCATTCAGATACATCTGGCATGGTAAGGAAGACAGGGGGCAACTTTAAGGAGAAGTTACGTGAGCTCGGAGGACTTGATGCTGTCTTTGAGGTCATCATGAATTGTCACTCTGTTATGAAGGTGCGAGCTTGTATGATTTTTTTTTCTATGTTATTGAATACAATAGCGAGTCATAAAAATCAAGACACCTTCTGTTGCTTTAAAACTGAAAAACAACTTTAATTTTAGATAATCATTTGAGAAATTAGGAACAGTGTGCAAGTGGAAATTCTGTGATGCTTTAAAACTGAAGAACAACTTTAATTTTAGCTAATCATTTGAGAAATTAGGAATGGTGTGCAACTGGAAATTCTGTGCCCAGTTCATGAATTCAATTGGGGGAAATCTTATGTCTTTGACATGCTACTTATGTGTGATAAATTTGCAGCATTGCTACTTAGCCATCTGGTTCATGCACTTAGGCACTGTTCTGTATTGTTCATTTCTTTCTATCTTGGAACCTAATTCTGTATGGTCCTGAGTTCAGTTCATCACTGTTCTTTGCTGGACTAAAAGATGAGTGGTGTGCATGGATGCATTTCCTTGTGTTTGACTTTCACCTTATAAGATCTAAAGCAGATCTTAAACCAATGGTGGTGCATTAATTTGTTTTCCAGTACATTTTCTTTTGTATATGGAAGGTATGTTATTTATTTATTCATTCTGAATTGAGTCATTATACCTGATAATAAATTCATGCCTATATGTCTTTTGACATGCTAATTAGTGAAATGTATTATTCGGAGATGGTAACTATTGAACACATTTATTTGCAGAGGTGGACAGAACATCATTCACCTTCCATTCAGGAACATGACATGCATCTATCGAGCCTGGTGCTACTTCTGAAATGTTTGAAAATTATGGAAAATGCTACATTCTTAAGTAAAGATAACCAGGTTCAATGAGATGTGATTTTGTTCTGTTATTCTTCTCCTGTTTATTCTTCCTCTACACAGTTATTAGAATTTAAAACACTATCTGAAGCCAAATTATTAGATTTTAATGTTCAATGTTTTCTTCTATGATACAGACTCATTTGCTTGGAATGAGGGGGAACTCAGATTCTCATGGGCATCGGCTATCTTTTACTAAAATCATTATAAGCATCATCAAAATTCTATCCAGTAAGACTGCTGTCTTGCTTCTGTCTATTTCTGGTTCTTATAACTAGATTGCTTTAATCAGATCTGTGTTCTGATGATTGATGCATTGACTTCTAGGTCTTCATATGCTCAAGAGTTCTGCTGCTGCTTCCAGTGTCGGAAACCGTTGTAGTCTTTCTGAAAGAAGTGATCATGCTTCTGATTTGGTCTTAATTGATGACTACAGAGGTATGTGGTAGCCTAATATCATTGTAGTGTTTCTGTATGCTTGCCGCCCTTCTCTCTCTCTCTCTCTCTCTCTCTCGCTCTCTCTCTGTAATGATGTATCTTTTATTTGAATTAGCAGTAGACAGCAATGGAGTTATAAGCATCAGTTCTTCTCCGAATAACTGCAATGAAGTGAGGACCTCCTCTGAGGAAAGCTTAAATGTATCTCAGAATTCCATTGCCTGGATGAGGCTTTCTGCCTCCAGTTCTGAAACTACCACACCATTTATTGGAAATACTTGTCAGCTGAAGATGAGAATACATCCTTCCATGTCCAGCTCATGTAGCGAGACATTGAGGAGTTATGAGAGCAATGGGTCAAGGACCATATTTGGCCTTGTTGAGAAACCTAATTGTAGGAAAGATGCCAGGAGTGAGCTCTTAGATGATAGCCAAGATCCGTATGCATTCGATGAAGATGATTTTCAGCCCTCAAAGTGGGACTTGCTCTCTGGGAAACAGAAAATCTCTCGAACTCTTAATGGTAGGGTAAACTCCAGAGAAGTTGAAAATGGGTATCAATATAAGCTACCGAGTCTTGAAGAGTTAAGTAATGGTGAAAATTGCCTACAAAAATCAAGTAATGGTGAGCAATATCATTCACAGAAAAGCTCTCATTGCAGTGTTCCTGATGAAGAACATTCCAGCCTTCTGGCAGACTGTCTTCTTACTGCTATCAAGGTATTCCTCTGAAACATTTAGAGGATTTTCTTTTATGTTCCATCCTTCTTTTATGCTGTCAAAGTAAGAAAAAGTAGCTGCATATGCTTCTTCTTTTTTTAAATTATTTTTTACATTTAAATTTAGCCTTTGTAGTTACCATCTTTACTTGGCAGGTTCTAATGAATTTAACAAATGACAATCCTATTGGCTGTCAACAAATTGCTGTTTGTGGGGGGCTGGAGACTATGTCTACTCTGATTGCTGGTCACTTCCCCTCATTCAGCTCATCTATATCCCTTGTTGGTGAGATGCAAGAGGACGGTTCGAGCATTGAACCTGACAATCAGAATGATGTTCATCTCACTGATCAAGAGTTGGATTTTCTTGTTGCTATATTGGGCCTACTTGTGAACTTGGTAGAAAAGGACGGGGATAACAGGCCAGCCCAATAATCACTTCTCTCATGCATATGTTGTTTTCTTGCAATTGGTGCATGGCATAGTGAAATGCTTCTTTGTTCTTAATTGCTATCGTGAATTTTAACCTAATGAAGCTTGATCTATTATCCTAGTTGTATTGCTTCCTACCTGCTGAGGCTTTCCTTCATGTTAACTATATCTTTACAAGTATTATGTGGGTAGATTTATACATCCTAGAAATTTCTGAAAATTTGATTTAGATGGCAACTGCATATATAGGATTGAAACATAAATGGTGTTGCTTGCCTACCATCTTTTGAAATTATCTCTTGTTCTTGCATTTAAGCAACACAAATTCCTCAAACCAACTTTCTCCTTGTATTACATAGAATCCTTGTGCTATTATCTGAAGACATTCGAATTTGAGTGAAACCTTTCCAATTCTCTAGTTTTCGTGTTAGACAAGATGTCATTGTTTTGAACACTCCAATGATGTCTTTCCAGATTTGCATCTGATGAATTAGCTATTGTCCTTGACTTTATGGACTGGCTTAACCCCACTTGGAAATCTTTTTGTTGGTTAGATCTCTCAATTTAGTAGTAGTCTTCTTGTTAGGATTTCCTTCTTTTGATCTTGAAGGAGGCATTTGGTTTATGTTTCTTTGTATATTCATAGCTCTCTGGTAGAAAAAAAGCATGTTTTATGTTTATTGCCTATCAAAACTTATGGTTAAAGTCGACTGCAGATCAAGGCTCGCTGCAACAAGTGTTCCTCTGTCAATCTTGGAAGGGTCAGAAGATGAGAGTCGCAAGGATGTAATTCCACTACTGTGCTCCATCTTTCTAGCCAACCAAGGTGCAGGTGATGCAGCTGGAGAAGGAAATGTTGTGTCATGGGTGAGTACCCTTCACAATGTCTTGGAATTATGTGGGGATGCATGTGAATAATTGATTAAGTCAAATTGTTACTGATATTTCCAAAACGTGCACATTATTGAATTGTACAGAACGATGAGGCAGCTGTTTTACAAGGAGAGAAAGAAGCAGAGAAGATGATTGTCGAAGCTTATTCAGCACTGGTACTTGCATTCCTATCAACTGAAAGGTTTGTGTGCTCCATTCCTTCTTTTCTTCCACATTCTTTTCAGTGCAATGCTTCTCAAATTCTCCCTGTTCAATGACAGCAAGAGCATCCGTGATTCCATTGCTGATTGCCTCCCAAATCACAACCTGGTTATCCTTGTTCCTGTGCTGGAGAGATTTGTGGTATTTTTTTTTTTGGTTGTCTTAAGGGTATATTAAGGGAAGAGATAGTTGCAACTTGCAACATATTGAAATCCCATACTTTCTCGGCATCAACCCTCTTATTATTATTATTATTATTATTATTGAGTGAAAAGAACGGTTGCACATTTTTTTTCTCTCCAGGCCTTTCACTTGACATTAAACATGATATCACCGGAGACTCATAAAGCTGTGACCGAAGTGATCGAATCATGTAGAATCCGATGAAATACTTGAGATTTTACTGGAGACTCATGAAGATGGGAGCCAAGTGATTGAATCATTTTGAGCATGATGAAAAAGCTCCAGAAATGCGAACTTTGTACAGTCTTTCGCGGTCAATTTCTCTTTGTCCACCATGGTTTTAGATTGTTGTAGCACACCATGGAACTGACTACAAGCCTGCCTTATAGTCTGATTGATTAACCTTTTCCAGTCTTTCCCACTTTATTTTCTTTTCTTCCTTTTCTTTTTCTCATAATCCATGTTATTCTTTTTGTATGGTGCAGGCTCAGACGCTTGTATACACGGTAATGAAAGCAAAATCAAATTGTTTTTGTGCGTTACACCTGTCTGATATATGTGCTTTCTCAAGATTCCTATTATATAACATCAGATATTTGCCAAGGCGACTCTAGCAGGGGAAAGACAGTGCCATGTACGAACTCATTTTGGATATGATCAAAATAAGTCCCAAAATAAAACATATGCTAGGCCAGGCTGGAGGAAGAAGCTGAAATGGAGATCCAACAAAAAAATTGTCAAAAGAAAGAATTGTGAGTCGGTAGGCAAGCCTTTATTTATTTATATATTTTTATAGAGGACATTTAACGTCACAAATTACTAGCACTATGGGGAGAAACTTTTCAGTCTGCTTCAAGAAGATGAGTCTGGCATGCCCAGCCTAAGGACAATCCTTTATTTATAATGAAGTATCGAAGAAAACATATCAAACTTGGTTGCCATTGTTCCAGTTCACAATTTATTGCCGCATAACACTAGGAAATATGGCAGCTCTTCCATGCACAAAAGACAGCCTCCCCAAGACTCCGATCGTAGTAGTGTAACGCTTGATTTGCCACAATTTAAATACAATACAACCCGATTTGTTGCAACAATCATGGCTATGATTCTTCGATAGATGACTACAAGCTCATAAGAGGTGCCGCTGCCGGATAAAATTTCATCCAACGAGGACTTCATAAGGAGGGCTTTGTCTTGTTGTACAATGACTCGAGGAACAAGGAATGAGGCTTTGGTCCATGGAAAAGTAGGACATTGATGATCAAGAAAACTAAAAGTACAGACAAGGAAAGAAATGAAACTCACAAATGATTCACAAGATGGGAATACTGGCTTGGGATTGAGTTATGAGATGGACAGAGTAGATGTTTATTGGAATAAATAGTTTCCATTTCACGAGATGAGGACAACAGCTTGTTATGGACCCTCTGTGGCCATGATCACAAGCCAATGGGAAGCGCGGTCATTTGGGCAGCTTCAAGCCCGAACCCTACAACCTCTGCTCCATTATGTTATCCAGACATGCTCCCATCTCAGCTGTCAAATGATTTGCCCAATCACCTATCTCACCTTTCCTAAGGCATCTTTGCATCTTATCTGCCCGGCTATGAAGAACCAAAGAGAATCAAACGGATCCTTTGCATCCCAACAAATGTAGATAATTTTGCAAACAGAAGAAATAATAGATTCTGGTAAGAAACAGTAAGGAACATGAGTATACCAATGGGATTGCCCAGTCTCGATTATTCGGATTTTCGGCAAGGTCATATTCCAAGAAAGGAATACATTCATGTGGCACAAAGGGCTGTAACGGGATCGATCGTGTAACAATGACAAAAGCAAGGGCCTTAAGCCTAGTATTGCCAGTTTTCGGAAAGCTGGTGACAGATGTATCAGTGGATTTGTGGGGAAGGCAAAGAGGATTCCATGAATACACAACAGAAAAATATAATGTATAATGGTGCACGTAACACATTAAGAAAGGCCATTGCCATTTGTAGGAAGTTGAGGTTTGATAATTTTTTCCATTTGGGTGTCAATATCAGCAATTTCCATTTGATAAACGTTCTGCCTCAAAATCTTGAGACATCTAAGGTTTGGCCATCGTAATCCAAGATTTTGTTACCGTTTTCTTTTCTTTTGGTATGAACCAGGTGGCCTAATTTTCTTTAATTTACACCATTGTGCTGCCTCAAATTCTATATAGATTTAAATTATCAAATCTTAATATCACTATAATGTTCTTTACTCTTGTCTGCTGATGCAAGTTGTTTCATTTCATATTATATTTGATAGCAGATCTTTCAGAAAGATCCTGGGAAAAACAACGCATGCATCTGCATGTGTTTAAGAAACCCAAAAGGTAGAACGTTTTGATCAGTCAAGAAGGAAAAATCACCAGTCAAATCATTGGAATGAAGGCTAAAAGATATTCACTGATGGCCATATTGTGGATCACTTTTCCTGACCAGTAAGAGATCTTTCTTTCAACACTAGTAGAATTTCCATCCCCTCCCCTGTAATAGCTCAAAAGATCGGTGCTCCATCCATTTAAATCGAGTCGAATGTATGAACAAATTGAGAAATAACACACATTTCTCACTTCATTTTGGAAAAAAAAAAAAAACTGGCTTTGAGTTATACGTAACAAATAACAGCTCTTCTCAAGTCTCAATGGAAGTTCACCTATGCATTTGACATATAAAAGTGGATCTCACATAAATAAGATCGAAACTGCATTCATCATATATATATATATATATATATATATAGAGAGAGAGAGAGAGAGAGAGAGAGAGAGAACTTTCCGTTTCTTATCATTTCAACGTAATAATGAAATTCCACGTGAGAGAAAAGACTCGAATATTAGGGCAAAAGAAATCAAAATGTTTGAAAGATAAAAGAAGTGCAAAAAGCACATAAAGACCTATTTATTTGTTTTTGTTTTCGTGTTTCGTAAGTGTTTTTAAAAAAGTTTGAAATTTTTTTATTTTTTTATTAATTTTAAATTAATATGTCTATATATATATATAAATAGAGAGAGAGAGAGAGAGAGAGAGAGAACTTTCCGTTTCTTATCATTTCAACGTAATAATGAAATTCCACGTGAGAGAAAAGACTCGAATATTAGGGCAAAAGAAATCAAAATGTTTGAAAGATAAAAGAAGTGCAAAAAGCACATAAAGTACAAACAACAGGCAATCTCATTCTTGAAGGGAAAAGAGAGAGAACATTAACTCTCACTCTTGAAGGGAAAAGAGAGAGAACATTAACCAAAGATTTCTACCACTTTTGAGTAACTAGTATGTGTACTGTTTTATGATAGCCATGCCACACATAACACCATACAATTATCAAGTCATTTCTTGTCTCAATGATATGGAGACGACTTTATTTTAATGAACTTGATCGAACTTGTTTCTCGAGGAAGTCGATGATTAGCTGGTTTACCTGGTCAGGGAATTGCTCTTGGACGAAATGGGTTCCTTCTGGCAAGGTCTTGATCTCTAGATCAGACATACATTCTCTTACTTTCCCACTTGTTAAGTAGTCCTCAATCCCAGGGAATTTAAGGAAATAGTCTTGCCCACCCATAATTAGCAGCACTGGGGCTTGAACCTTTGGGTTACTGATGGTGAACTCTTTGCGCTGTCCCCTGCAAGAACCCAGATACAGCATGCTACATTGGTACTCGCATTCAGATCATTTGAAGTGAATTTCTTGCTTCAAGTTTCAAAGAACAACTGGACGACAAGGGTTTATTGGATATTTCAATACAAATTCTTACTTGTACGGGGCTCGCATTGGAGAATCAAATCCTGATTTTTCATATGCATTTGCATAAATTGCAAGATCCTCACTGCTTAACCATGATGGTAGAGGGGTGGATGGATCCACCAAATCCATAATCTCCTTATCTTTTTCTGCTATAGGGATTTCATTTCTTGAAAAGAGAATGTAGATGTTCCCCCACACAGTTTTAACATCAAATCTGCTAAAATCGGCCTCAGCACGCCCAGGTTCCTACCAGGGATGGAATTATAAACCAATCAACTCATTTTTTTAGCCAAAAAGAAATCAAGTAAAGGATCTTGATGATTCTGTTTGACGATTGAAGTTTTATAACAACAGCGCCTAACATTCTATGATAACAAAGCAGACCAAAAACTTAAGCACACATTATCCATTTGCAGCAGGATTCTTAGAAAGAAAAACAAGCAGAATTATAGCACATCCTTAACATAATTTCAACGCTTTTCCAATTAAAAAAGAGAGAGAGAGAGAAAGCTTCGTCTTCCAAAATGACAAGGTTACTTAGATTTGATATGTTACAAAGAAAGCCTAAAGTTCCACTACAAGAAAATGAAGCAAAAAAATCAATGTACCTTCCACCTGTGGATGTAGAAACCTTCGGGAAGGTCCTTGTATCGTAGAGGCCTGGGAGGAAAGAAGGGCACACCCAATGAAACTATTCCAGAAATTCTTGTTGGATGGAGAAGAGAGAGGAGATAAACAGGCCAGGAACCAAAATCTTTTCCTACCAAGAAGGCCTGTGATCAACTTAATTTGGTTAACTTCAAGCAAAGCTAAATATTTGCAAATGCACACAGTAAACATATACTTAACCAGTTGGTACTTGGTAGTGAAACAAGAAATAATACATGGCCACATCTAGGCTAAAAATGACACAGTGTAAGACCGCTACCTTCTCAATTTGAAAATAATCAAGGATAGCAATGGTGTCCTCCACAAAGTCATCGAAGGATGCCTTTTCAAGATCTGGATGGTGCTCGGATAATCCATAACCTCTTAAATCTGGTGCGATTGCGTGATATCCACCATTAGCAACGGCAATCATTTGGTGTCTCCATGAATACCATATCTCTGGGAAACCATGTATGAAAACCACCACCGAAGAACCTACACCTAAAAAGACAGTTTTTTCATCTGCTAAAAGATTAAAAATAAATAAAATTGAAAGCAAAAGCAAAAGCAAAAGAAAAGGTGATAGTCGATCTAAACCAGTTCCAATCTCTGCAATGTGAAGCTTCACTCCTCTGATGTTAACGTACTTGTGTTGTATCTGATCCATTTAGAAAGAGAGAGAGTTGACTGATCTGAAGCTTTCTGTACTAATAAAGCAGTCCATGGAGGTGGGAAATGATCCAGTGAGATGCAGCACAGTCCTTTTCACTCTACTATAAAAATGTACGCGAGTTTACCCAATCATCCCCAGGCATAGAGTTATGCCCTTACTTTCTATCTACTGGATGTACTGGCTGGTGACAATTGGACCTATCAACTCTCATTCTTGACAAATGGACCTTCTTTTAGGTGCTGTGTTCATCTCCTTGTGTTGGTAAGGTAATAATCAATATGTGTGGCATTCTGAGCTCGAGCAGTCGCTAATAATATCCAGTTTTTATCAAGGAAAATGCCAGTTTCAGAGAAGTTTAAGAATAGCAGATTTGTGTGCTATTCTTCAGCTTTCCACAGTATGAAACTGTGATTATTGGAAACCCCTGTGATGCATTCGACCTCCAGGTAAATGTTTCAAGAATTCACATGAACCTTGGTCAAACATCAAGGCGAGACAAGATACTACAGTACTGTCACACATAATGCCGATGTATTCAAATTCAATGATGCATTTTACTTCTTGACATACTCAAATACATACAGGACATGCCACGAAGAAGAGGCAGAGAGCAGTTGTCTTGCATTAATACACTTTTGCATACTCAAAAAAACACAGAGGAATCAGAATTGGATTTCAATGCGCTAAAGTTGCAGCATCAAAACCAACTGAAGCTTTCGCAACAAATATTAGTGACCAAATACTGGCATTAAGGAAAGTGAGTATGAGCTGATCCACCTCGTCAGGTGATTGCTCCTGAACAAAACGGGTTCCTTCAGGCAAATATATGACGTCCAGATCAGGAACAAACTCTTTGACCTTCCAGCTCTTTATGCAATCTTCCATACTTGGAATTCTGAAGACATAATCTTTGTCATCCATGATCAGAAGTGCTGGAACTTTAATTACCGATTCTGTTATGTTGCAATCTTCATCAAAGGACCTAAAAAGTACCCTTTCAAGCCAAACTCTTATCAGATGTTAACGTACAAACAATTCAGACAATTTAGCAGAGACCGGCACTCCCTTTATCGATGTGCACTTACCTGTATGGAACTTGTAGTGCCGTTTGGAATCCAGGTTCTGGTACAAGGCTCCATATATTGCAAGATCTTCCTCTGTGAACCAAGGGCGAGGAGGAATAGATAGGTCCACCAAATCCATGATCTCCTGGTTTTCAGGACCTATTGGTGTCCAACTTCTAGAGAACAAAATGTACATCTTTCTGACCACCGTTTTCCAGTCAAATCAACCAAAATAAGCTTCTGCTCGTCCAGGTTCCTATGTACAACTCAAAAGAAAAGGTTTCTAAGGGAAAGTGCTAAAAGATTCTTAGATTCCAGCAAATTAGATAGTCAGGAGCTTGTAGTAACAGTCCTTGTAAATGCCACAGTCCATGCACGCATAGATAGTATTGGATAGAAAGTCGCTTCGTATCTCTATACATTCTAACAAACTATCTGATGCCATAAAAAAAAATAGAAATGCCATAACGAATGTTTAGAGCAAGGAAAATATAAAATGGAAAACTGGATAAAGCCTTCAGGGAGGTACTTATGGTATTGAACTCTGGACCTGGCGGTATGAATGGCACTTCCATTGTTACATTAGCCATGGTTGGCTCCAAAATCTTTTGCAACCTATGTTCATTCAAGTAAAAAAACAAAGAGAGAATCAAATCACTAATTATAAAACTCTCATTTTCTGAGATTTCATCTTTTGCTTGAATTTTTTTTGGTTGCTTGGAATCTTTGGAATTGAATTCAATTCCAAAATTTAAATCAATCCTTAGTTTGAAATCTTTTGAGGATATTAATTTGAATTCCAAATAAAATTACAGTAATTATTTTTAGAATTAATATGAAAAATAATATTCCAAAAATACCTTTAATACCACAAACACTTTCCAAATTTTCATTCAAAAGAGACACTAAAGAACTGACCCCATTTTCATCGTCTTCTTCTTGAATAGTTGCACTGGATGTCATTGTTTGTGATGAAAGTCATGTTTTTTCTACCGACACCAAAGGGAATATGGCCAAGATATAGTTTTTTCATAAGCAATTCCAAGGCCCTTGTAAACTGATGAAGAATTGTTTCTCCGACAAATGTTTTTATGCTCTTCTTGTTTTTATTTTTAAGTCCAGATGGCTTGACCATCGAAGTAATTCCTGTTGCAAACACAAATTACCTGCACTTTGTGGGGCTGACAAAATTGTTGGGAAAACTCGGAACAACTGGACATCAATTTACCCGGATCAATTCAGCGATATTTTAAAGACATTAGTATTGATCTTCATCCCTTTTAGTTTTCGAATGTTAAATAGTTGTTATGTTTTAAAATATTTTTTATTTTAAATTTTTTTGAAAAATGAGGTGAAGCCTAGCTCCAGGGCTCGAACTCATCAACTTGGTTTCATGGGACAACCAAATGAGGTGAAGCCTAGCTCGGGTGAGTTTCATGAAAATCCTTCATCCTGCATATGCTAGAAATCTACATCCTAGAGAAAAATAGTAAAGATTTCTAATTCATTTGCACAAATATTTCAAATATTATAATTGAATTTAATTATATGATTTAATAATTTATTTCAAATATAAGAATTGTAATATATTATAAATTGAATTTAAATTATATGTGGAATTAAATTAAATTTTATATATGATTTGATTTCAAACGGAAACCAATCAAAAATCTTTTTGTTGCCCCACTTGCCACAAATAAAAACAATTGCTCATTACCGTGCTCGTTCAAAAAAGAATTAACAAAAGACAAAATCTAATTTCTCTTTAATAGACTGTTATATTTAGATTGAGCCAATGGTATCCACAAGACTCAATAAGACAACACCTCTACTAACTTTGTATATTTTATTAGTGGATTGGTCACATGTTTCCCAAATAAACTTTGTGTCCCCTTTGACAGCCTAGCCATGCATCTTGCATACCAACTATGAGTCCCCCATTGAAATACTAACCATCATTGCTGAGCAAGGATTATACCCTCTAAATTCAAAGGTTATAATTGGATTCACTCGAATCCAACTGCCATACCCGGATATGCTTGAGTCAAACTATTAACCCGATTCAATATCCTTAGTCAAACATAATTTACTCGCCACCAATTACAAAAACAAAATATAAATTAAATGAAAGCAGACCTCTTGGCAATATATCATTTGAAAATTGTTCTCGTTATTGTCATTAACATTACACAACCCATAACATTACACAACCCATAAAACTTAAAACTAACATAATTTTTACAGAGATTCATGGTCACTCTAAGTCTTTATCTCCAAGTAATCAAAAAATATAAGTGATAAGCACATTAACCCCCTTGCATAGACACAAAACAAAAGGTGTGGTTTGATAATTTATCTATATCGATATTTGGAGCAACTGGTTTTTTTTATAAAAAAATAAAAATTATAATAAGGAGAAAACTCCACCTAACTCAACTCAATATCAATCTTTTTATTCTATAATGCACTTTTAATTTGAGCCCAACATACAACTATGTTACCTAGAATATATATATGAATCTTATTGTAATTTTCTACTATCAATGTCATCAACCAAATCAACATCTAGATAACCTTGAAGCTTTATGTCTAACTTTGTGAAATAAAGTAACATTTCTAAATAATTATTTAAATATATGAAAATCTATTTTACTACTCTTAAAACCAACTAACCAATGTTGTTTATCTAGATTACTCATGTATCTATTTATAACTAATTACATATACAATGTCTGATCATATATAAATCATAATATATGTTTTTAATTGTTGAAGCATAAGGAACTTACTCATGCAATTCTTTTCTTTTTCTATCTTTGGTGATTATTTTTTATTTAGTCTAAAATAAATAGCCAATAAAATGTTTACTAACTTTATCTTTGTTGAATTTATGAAACACCTTTTTCACACTTATCGTGTGAAAGTTTCAGGATACAATTAATTCTATCTTTGATTATTCTTATAACAAGGATTTGTTTTGTATGTTCCAAATCCTTTATTTCAAGCAATTCTAGTAACTGCTTCTTTATTTATTTTCTCGATGCTAGATTCTACAATAAGCATATATATATATATATATATATATATATATTATTAGAATGATACGAGAGTTGTCAAAACTTTTTATGTAACAATAATGGTTTGCCTATAATCTTATGAACCTATTATTGGAAATAAAATTGTTGAACTTCTTATAGCATTATCTAAGAGCTTATTTCAAGCCATTAAAGCTTATTTTCAGTTTGTAAGCTACATTATCCTTTTATATATATATATATATAATCCTTCTGATTAATTCATGTGTATATATTCCTCCAAATCCTTATAAAGAAAAGCAATATTCACATCTAATTGTTCAAGATACAGATCTTTTGTAACTTTAATTTCTAGTACTAGTTTGATTATGGTTAGCTTCACTACAAGAAAAAAGATATATATATATATATATATATATATATATATAACATGTTTTGGGCTAAAATCTCTTCCAACTAATCTCACTTTATAGCATTTTCTTCCGTCGTGTTCTTTTTTTATTTTATACACCTATTTGATACGTAAAGCCTTCTTTTCTATAAGTAGTTCGATTAGCTTTTATGTTTGATTTATTAATAAGAAACTCATCTAATCATTCATGAATAACTCTTACTTACTTTTTTATTTGCATAGCTTTATCAAGAATTTTAAGCTAACCATTTTCTATTAGAAAAATATAATTCAATAATGGTGAGAAACATTGTATAGGCTTAATACTCTAATAAGACCTTCAAACAATCGTTGCTAATATTTATGGCACCCTGTGGATTAATATTTTTTTTGTTGTTATTATTTCTTTACATAATACTCTCTTTATACTTAATCTATATTAAATACCTCAGTTGTCTTTATTTCATGTATATACCTACCAAATCTTTTCCTCTTTATCTATATACATCACCTTTTTATTAAATATGACATTTTTAATGTTTTTTTTTTGTTTTCTTTATTCTAAAATTCATATCCAAACTCATTAGTGCGATATCCAGTAAAGGTACATTATAATTAAAAGGTTCCTTATAAAGTAAAAAAAGACTTCAAAAAGAAATTGAATTTTCCATGGTTGAATCCTCGGTTGTCAGTATGATTAGGCTTAACCGTGAGCTTTTTTATAAAACAAATCCCTTATTGGCATAGGGGATCCTCTGATACTTAAGTCAATAAATTTAAGATAAGTGTAATGTGTATGAAAATAAATTAAAGAGAAATGTATGTATGAAGAAAAAA